TGAGGCAAGAAAAAGAAATGAGATACTACAATTAGAAAGTAAAACTATCTCAATTTGCCCAGTAACCCAATCTGTTATGGAGGAAATCCTGAATGTGTGACTAAAAACCCAATGGAACAAGCAAGTTTTATACAACAGCAGGATACAGAATCAACATACAAAGGTAAGTCAAATTTCTATACAGTGACAATGAAAAGACAAGAAGGAAAGGAGAACGGGCCAGTCTGAACAGCATCCTAAAACAGAAACCACTCAGCATAACCTTACCTGAACAAAGTGGAAAGAAACGAAAGGCCCACATAGAAAGACAGTTCTTGTTTACCTGTAATAATGGCCCAAATGGACTAGGGATTCAGTGCAATTACTATAAAATGCCAGCTGGCTTCTTTCGGTAATTGACAAGCAGATCATAAAATTCACAGAGAAACTCAAGGAGTCCAGAATAGCGAACATGATCTCTGTGGGTTTTCTTTTTCATTTTTGTTGTTCTGGGTCACATCTGGTGATGCTCAGGGGTTCCTCCTGGCCCTGCACTCAGGAATCACTCCCGCAGCACTCAGGGGACCCAATAGGATGCCAGAGACTGAATCTGGTTTGGCCCTGTGCACGGCAAACCCCCCTACTCACTGTCCTATCGCTCTGCCACTCCAGCCCCAATCCCAGAGGTCTTGACACTGAGTTCAAAATGGTTTTCTGACCAAGACTGAGTGCAAAGTTGAAGGACTCGTGCTTGCTGGTTTCAAAATGTACCATAAAGCTACAGTCAAAGCAGCCTGCTCCTGGCATAAAGAAAAACATTTTCCCAGAAAAGATATGCAAATGACAATAAGCACATGAAAAGGTACTCAACAGCATTTAGCTACTAGGAAATGCAAATCAATAGCACAAGGAGACAGGAGAGGAGGCAGGCTTTAATCAGAAGCGAGTGCTGGGGAGGGTCCGGCGGAGGGCCCAGTACTGAGAAGGACCCTCTTACCTTTCAGATGGGGGCGAAATGCTGCATCCCCGATGGAAATCAATCCAGGCAGCTCATCAAGAAATGACACAAGCAAACACCAGATGATGCAGAAATCCATTTTGTGATATACACCCAAAGGAAGTGAAGACAGGGATTCCGGGGGAGATCAGGTCTGAACACTGCTGTCCATAGCACCTTTGCTGACAAGCCAATGGTGCATGCAACCTGATGGATGAGGGCAGAAAGGAAATGCGCTTGGGCCACTAAAGGAAGAAAAGGAAACGCAGCCCCAATCCATGCTAGAGGCTGGATGGCCCTTCGAAGCAGGACAATCAATGACAGAGCCAGACACACAGGCCTGGACGGTTCCATTTATATGAACTGCCTGTGCACCATGTCAGGCTCACTGAGCTGCAGCACCTGCCTGAGGTGTACATAGCCCAGGGTCCACCCCAGCATTGCATGGTCCCCTGTAGGATGACATTGGTTTTTCCCTTCTCCCTTGCCGCGGGGAGCTTAGGCTTATTGGTTACACCCATCACAGTGCTCCCGAGGCACTCCCATTCCTGTGTTTATCTTTAACCTCTTCTCTGTGCTCTGCTTCCCCTAAAATCACCATGATCCCCAAATCAGACCCTTATAAAGTCAGATTCTTCAGAGATCTCTGGATTTGTTTTGTAAGTGAAATATTGCTCTTCTCTTTCCCATATGTCCTTTGCATAGTTTACTTCAGAGCAATGTCCTTTCTGTAGAGACACAGGAAGACAGTCAATGCTATGCTTTCGTAACTTGGGAGTTAACTGACTTCGAACAATTTTACTCCTGGGCATCTGTTATATTTATTCGACTTAAGCCTCAGTTGCCCTTAGCTCCTAGCACCCCAAAAGCAGGGTCCCGACGAAGGGACTGGATGGACCCAGGACAAGTGGTAAGCTACCCTGGCATGGAAATGGGACAGGCCAAATACCATAAAACTTATAATAAGAGCATGGTCGTGGACAAATTCTGTCATGACCCAAAGAGAAGTGACTGGACAAGAACCCTCCCAGGGTTAAGAAGGACCAATCTGGCCTGAGAAATATAGTCTGGGATCTATAGTGAGATGTCCCCAGGAGAGATACATTATAAGTTTAATGTATCTCTTACTATGTCCATACAAAATGACTCGAAAGATTATTAAGAAGTAAATAAATTGAAGATGATTTTTTATGGACTAAGGAAAGGAGAAGTATGTCCTTAGATGAAAACACGCCCTTGAGTGGATCTCCTGGCAGGAGGAGATCTTGTCTTGGAGGAGCTTCCCCAGAAGGAAGGGGCGGGCTTTACATCTGTTGGTTGTGCTATCTGACCAAGGGGTAATTGCTACCCAAACTTTGGAGGGTGAGGACTAGACTAAGGCTGCGAGACTGAGCAGGGAGAGCAGCCTGGGGCATACGAGAAGGAATGAGGGCCAGTGTGAGACTGGACTGGGCACTTAGTGAGACTGGAACAGGTGCATGGGGAGAATGGAAGAAATGGCGACTGTTCCCTCCATGCGTCTGCTGGTGGCGGCTGAAGGCTGGGGTGGGCAAGAGACAGAAGAGTGTGTACCTACTTCTTTTGTGATTACATAGCCCCCGAGCATCAGCCAGTGTATCTGGAACAGGCAAACCCATGAAAAGCATTGAGTAGATTAGCGCAAAGGGCTGGCACCTGCGGGGACCGGATAGGTGATTGCTAGTGAGTACAGGGTTTCTGTTCACTTACAAGGGCTGGGTCACCCCAGGAATGACTCAATCACCTTAGTCCAGTCCTACGTCTCCAGTTCCCCTGGCTTCTTTTAAAAGTGAGGAAATGTGCTGGAATTAGATAGTGGTGAGGAATGCACAACTCTTGGAATAGTCTAGAAATCACTGAATTAATTCGACCCTCCACAAAGGTATGTGAATTTTATCATCTTGCTAAAGCTTAAGGTGGCTTTAATTTCAGGGTTTTCGAGTTTCTGGGGAAAAGGCTGTGAACACCAGGCTAGCACAGATCCAAAGGTCCCCTGCTACGTGGCAGTCACATGTCCAGTGCACTGTCTCAAGGGTCCCTCCCTCTAGTGACAGTCTCTAGCCAAGGGCAGCTGTGGGTGCTTCTGAGAGCCACATGCCCCGGAAGGTGGACAGGTGGGGGACAAGCTGACCAGCACTCTGGTGAATGTGTCCTTTTCATCCAAACAAAGGCATGGGTCAGGTGACATCAGGTATGACAGGAGGCTTCTGGGAAAGTTAACATAACACTAATTCTTTCATTTTCTCCACCCTAAATCTTAAAGGCAGGCTCTTATTTTCTGGAGGGGCGGTGGTAGTAGGCCAGAGTCATTGGTGATCAGGGCTTAGTCCTGGCTCTGAGCTCCAGAATCACTCATGGCACTGTGAGTGTGTGTGTGTGTGTGGGGGGGGGCTACGCAGCATCAGGGATGGTACCAGTCGGCCACATGCAAGGTAAGTGTCTTCCCTCTGGAATGTCCAACCCAGCACTATTTTCTTGGGAAAGTGCAGGCATGGGGGCAGAGCAACCGTACAGCAGGCAGGGAGTTTGCCTTGCATGCAGCTGACTTGGGCCTGCCAGGAGCGATCCCAGAATACAGAGCCAGGAATAAGCTCTAAGCACCGTGGGTGTGGCCCAAAACCCCAAAAATAAAACAAAATCTTTTTTAAAAGACAAGGAGCCAAGCGCAGGCTCGAAGGCCAGGCGAGGGAGGCTTCAGAGTCGCTTCCCTATGGCCATGGGAACCCCGCGCACTGCCGGCAGCCCTGTGAAAGTCGGGAGTAGCCTCCAGCTCGAGGTGCTCAAGGTCTACACTAACTTCTGCAGGAGCTTTCAAGGAGAGCCACGGCCTCGGTGTGGTCAGCGCGGCGGCAGCCCAGGTCAGGAAGGAGGCTCCAGAACATTCCTGCCCAGGGGGCCTCAAGCCCGCTCCAGCGGGGAGCCCCGTCACTTACACTTGGAGCCGAGGGGGCTCCACCATGAAACGGTCCACACCCATTTCGGGCTGCCCCCAGGAGTGACCAGGAGCCTGCATGGCAGCCGCCAGTGGCAAAGGAAGTGAGGCTGAGAGGCACCGCTGCCCCGGGCTGGGACTGCCATGAGCTCACTCCCCAAGCAGACACCACTGAGACCCGGGGGCAGCATCTCCAAGTGGCCGGTGAGGCCAGAGGTGGCATGCGCGAGGTGAGGGGGCAGAAGGCAGGCAGCGGGGCAGCCGCAGGCAGGGGCGGCCAGTAGGTTGGGCCCAGGCTCACCTGGGACTGCTGGGCCATCCTTGCCCTCATGCTCCGGGCCCACACCTCCGGGTCTGCACTTGCTCCCCAGTCCGGCCCGAGGTGCGAGGAGCTGAAGGGCCTACCTGTCTGCGCCCCTTCTCACCTGGTTCCTGACTCCCTCGGGCCATCATCACCCCCCTCCTCATGGCGCTGAGGTGGGGGGTCCCCGTTTCTTCAGACAGAACGCACACAGAACGCACAAACGCGCGGGCGCACACGCAGACGGGGCACAGGCACGCACTCACGAAGTCACGGCACGCACAAGAAGGCAGCCCCTGGGGCGCGGGGACCCCGAGCGCGGCCGGGACGCCGGCTCGCTCCCTCCGCGTGGTGGCCGGGCCGATCCACGCCCCCCCGCTGCTGGGGCACTCGAGGGCTGCTGCGGTAGCCCAGGTCTGGGGGCCGGGTCGAGGGGGGATGTTGACCGCCCGGGCCGCTCGCTCGTGGCCGGGGGCGGCCAGTTGCCTCTCCCTCGCTGGCTCGAGCGCGCGAGAGCGTGGGAGCACCGGGCCCGCAGCCGGAGCCCTGGGGCCGGCGTGCCTGCCGCGGGCCGGGCCCAACTTCCCGGGCTCTGCTCCTCACCCCCACCCCACGCACCTGCCCCCTCCGGGACGGGTCCCCGCGGAGCTCCGCGCCCCCCGGCCCCGGAGCGGAGGGCGAGGACGGCGCCCTACCTCCGGCGCCGCGAGCCGGCCAGGCCGCTCCCCCTCGTGGCCAGGCGGCGCCCACGCCCCCCGCGCCGCGCGCCCTACCTGCAGCATCACTTTGTACTGCTCCTCCGGTTTCTGGACCACGCACATATTACATCCCATGGTGCTGGCGGGCGAGCGAAGGAGGCACGCGCGGGAAACGCCTTTCACTGGCCGCCGCGCGGGACCCGGGGTCCCGGGCCCGGGCCGGGGGCCATCGCCGAGCGCGCGGGGCGGGGGAGGGGCGGCCGCACGCCCCTCGGGGTCACTGGGCACTGGCGGCGGCCAGGCGCGGGCATGCTCCCTCGCACCCGGCCAGGAGAGAAAGGCGGCGGGGGAGGGGCGGGCGCGCCGGGCGTTGCTGGGCTACGGCCCCCCACGAGGCGCGGGGGCGCGCCGGGACGCCGGGGGCCGTCAGGGGCCGGGGGCTGCGCGCCTCCCCGCCCGCGGGGCCCGCCGCTGCCGCTGCCGCCTCCGGCTCCCGCCCATGGCCGCCGGCCCCGGGGGCCCGGCCCTCGCGCTCGGCGCAGCGGCCCGGCCGGCCGACGGGGGGCGGCGGCGTGGCGGGGCCCCCGCCCGCGCTCCCGGCGCTCCCGGCGCTCCCGCGGCCGCTCTCCGGCCCGTGGCCGGCCCGGCGTCTCCCGCTCCCTCCCGCCCGCCCGGGACGACCGACGGGCACGCGCGTGCGCCCGCGGCGGCGGCGGGGGAGGGGCGCGGGGACGGGGCGCACGCGCGCGGGGGAGAGGCGGGGAGGGGCGGGCGGCGCGGGAGCCGGCGCGGGAGGCCGCGAGCGGGGACCCGGCGAGGGCGGGGCGGAGCGGGGCGGGGGGCGGGGCGCCCGCCCGACGTGGGGTCCCCGCTCCCGGCCGGAAGGAGGGGTCCGGCGGGCGGGAGCGCCCCGCCCGGGGTTCCCAGGGGAGCGGGGCCGGGCGCCTCGGGAGGGGACGCGGTCCCCCACCCCCTTCCCCGGGTCCTGCGCGCAGCCCCAAAGCCTCTCCCCCTCCTCCCCCCGGCGTCCCCAAGGATGGCTCCTCTCCTTCGGCTCGCGTCCCGCCGGCGCGAACACGGACACCTTTGTTTATGGAGAGCCGGGCGACGGAAGGAAGGGGTGAGGGCTGGGTGTGGGAGAGGCGGCGAGCGCGCGCCCAAGCCCCGGGCGCTGCCTACCTGCGGGCCGCCGGACGAGGGGAGGCGAGGGCTGGGTTCCCCTGGGGGCCGGGCAGAGCTGCGGGGATCGCTTGATTAAATTGCTGCGCGCTTCATTTCCAGGCTTTGGCAAGTGACGGAATCATTAGCCACACTGGGCTGTTTAATTAGGCGCGGTGCTGGGGACAGCACTCGGGTGCCCCAAAGGCCTGGCATCCCAGCACAGCGCCCCTTGAGCCAAGCGGGCTGCCCCCGTCACCCAGTGCGAGAGTCTGTTCTGCAGTGGCTGGTCACCAGGAGGGCCTGGTACCGCTCCTGCTGGGGGCTCCACACTGGACGCTTGGGAACTGTCAGCCCTACACCGCAAGATGGGACGCTCGCACCACACCCCCAAGCACAGTGGCCCGATGCAACAGATGCGCAAACCTCCATTTCTGGGGTTCCAAGAGCCGCCCGAGGGCACAGGTGCTGGGGGAGGCTCCCAGCCTTGTGGCTCATTTCCCCCTTGGGTCGGCTCAGTGCTGGCCACGGAGCCCCAGACTCCCACACGTAACCCATGTGGCCCCTGGCATGACCCGTGAGGCCCCTCGGTGCCTTTCCGGACACTGCGCGGAGCCGAGTCCAGCTCCCAGGTCTGCAGGCACATGTTTTGCTTGGGGCCATACCCGGCTGTGCTAGTCGGGACCACACCCTGCCCACCCTGATCCCAGATGGGAGGAGTGCAGAACACATGTTGCCAGGAAGGGGGCACACGGGCATACCAGCAGCTGGCTTCCATGTGCTGGCCCCTCCCCGTCACCCACCCCCAGAGCTCTCTTATTCTCGTAAAGCATCCGTGCTACTTCTGGTGGGCTTCCTGGAGGGGCGCGCCTGCCCTGGCTTTCCTCTTCGATGCTACAACTAGCAGGGTGGCGTACATGCTTCCTGCTTCCCCAGAGCTCCAGGCACTGCCTCCAAAGGGCCTCGGGGTCACGGCCCCCTCATAACCCAGTACCCTCCTCCTGGTCAGCACCTCTGTGGATCTCCGTGGTGACTGGGGGTGACAGCATGCACCTCCAATCTCAGTCCGGGGAAGGGCAGGCCAGAGCTTCTCAGGGAGGGGTGCATGCAGCTAGACCAGGGTTCTGGAAGTCCTGAGAGACCTGTGCAGATGGTCCTCCCCAGAGGACCGACAGGAAGTGCAACCCTCATCTCTGACCTTCTGGGTCACCATAGCTCAGGCATCCCTCCCACCCCCAAGGGCCGCCATTGGTCACCAGTCCATGGTGCTGACAAGGCCGCCTGATGGGGTCTCCGTGTTTCTCATGAGTCCACAGGGGCGAGCTAGGACTAGCGGAGTGGTGGTGACAAGTGACCTGGGGACCATCTGCTTGTCTTTATCCCTGCCTGGGCCTGAGGCTGCCACTGTGGCCGCCGATACTCAGCTCTCGCTGCCCTGCGTGTGAACCTGCTGGTGGCCCTGCCCCAGGAAGGACGCTCCGTGGCAAGCACTGCTACTGAGGGCAGGTTCCTGGCTCTGTCCAGCACATTGGCACCATGGACAGAGCCCTCCCAGCCACTTGGCTGGCAGGTTGCCCCGCTGGCCTTCCGCAGGTCTTGCCCACTTTGGTCTGGTGCGTCCACGTGATGAGACGTATTGGTGTCAGACACCAGTGAAGCTGTCGAACAGTGGACCCAGAGGCAGCACCTCTGAGCATAGCCGAGCGTTGGGGGGCACAGCCCAGCCTGGCAGGGGTGGGGCTCATTGCCATGGCAGCCAGACCAGAGCAGACGCATGATCACTGTACCCTGTGTCAGTCATTTTGTGTTTACTCTGGGGGCCACACCTAGGGGTGCTCATGCGGTGGGGCTTGAATGGAACCTGTGTCGGCTCCACACAAGGCCGGCAGTGCCTTGGCCTCCGTGCTCTCCCTCCCGCCCCTTCAGTGGTGTTCCGTGACCAATCATGTGGTATCAGGAAACCAACCAGGACCCCTAGTTTGCAGAGCCTGTGCCCCTGCCCTTTGGATCACCTCCCGATCCTACCACCCCTTTATGTTCCTAGGGGTCACCCCTGTGAGACTCAGGGCTCAGGGCCCCTGACAGTTCACAGCCAGCAGAGGTAGAGGTCCCTCGTGAGGCTGGGGACTCCCCTAAGACATGTGGCCAGCCCCTGTGCCCACGAGTACCCTGCCCAGGCCTTCTCTGGACCGATCCTGTCTGGAGCAGCTGCTCTCTTGCATTGCTGAGGGTGCCACATCATGCCCAGAAGGTTCTGAGCCCATCCTGGTCGCCGGCAAAGGCCCAGGAATCCACTATTCTGTTTTGCCATTGGGCTAGTGGGTCCCAGTCTCTCACAGTTGGGCACAAGTGCGTCCCCAGACCCCATAGGCAGCATCTCTCCTATCGTAGCCCTGACCTTGGGGCCTCTGCTCGTCTGTCTGTGAGTGTGAGATTGGTCTTAGCATCCCCAAGCCCAGGGCCACTCAGACTTTCCCTTAGAGCTTTTTTGGAGGGAGCTGGGTCACTACCTTCATTCATTGCTCACGTGTTTCTCCTGGGTTCTGCACTCAGAGATCACTCCTGGAGCAGTCCAGAGGACCCTTTGGTTGCTGGGGATGAAACCCCAGTTTTGGGGTCTTGGGGCAGTGAAGAGCCCCGCCAGCTGCATGATGTCTGCTGCCTCAGGGCTTCATCTTCTAAGGCCCATGTTGTGTTTTGATTTCATTGTGAGCGTGTTAGGCTCGGCCATTCCTTGGCCCTTGGAGGTCTGTTTCTACCACTCCATTCACCAAATGATGATCCCACGCCTCTCCATTCCCTTTTTCCTTGGCCAAGAATCAGTTGAAGGTACTTGTCAGGGTCTGTCTCTTCTGTCCACTTCCCCAGACTGAAAACGACACAGAGGAAGAAAATGGGCCAGGGGAACAGGGCAGCGAGGGGCTTCTCTGTCCCAAGAGGACATGCCCTGCATTTGCTTTCCTAGTTGACTTCGTTCAGAGGCCTAGAATCCGATCAGTCGATCTCACTCACATTTGGGCACTCAAGACTTACTTGAATTGTGCCTACTTGAAAAATGTGTTCATTTTGGGCCCAGAGGAATAGTTCTGGCAATGTAGAGCACTTGTCTTATAAGCATCCGGTCATGACTTCCAGCCCTGGGCGTCCTGGAAGTGCCAGGCACACTCCTGGCACCATTCCAGTCTATGGCAGTGTGCTGCCTGCCATCCTTGGCACTCTGAGACATTTTGGGGTGTTTGTTTTTGTCTTTAGGCCACACCTAGAGGTGCTCGGGACTTTTTCTTACTGTGTGCTCAGGGACTATTCCCGGTTGAGCTCAGGGGACCGTATGGGGTATGGGGGATCGAACCTGGGTTGGCCATATGCAAGGCATGCACCCTGCCCTCTGTTCCCTCTCTCTTTCTGGCCCCTCTAAGTGATTTTTGGCTGCAACAGAAGGGTGTGCCTGAGCACTCCAAGGAAGCTTGTGACCCAGGGCTGCAACTGAATAGATGACAGCCAGGAAATGTGAGCCCCGCAGCACCCTGCCACCAGAACTGTGTGCTTCAACTACACAAGCACCGCGACTGAAGGGAATGCAGAGCTCAGGAATGTTTCCGCCTGGTGGGTGAGTGTGTCCCCAACAGCAGTGGCCACTCAAGGAATGGTCAGGAGGGATAGAAAATCAGTCAAAATACACCAAAAAGCAGAAAGCTGAGGACCATAGAGAAGGTCCAGGGTAGGTGCTGTGCAGTGTGCCACATTGAGTCACTCCCTGACTATGTTCCCCCACTTTCTGGACTGACTCCAGAGCACAGAGGCAAAAATAGCCCCCTGAGCACCACCAGGTGTGGTCCCAGCCTCCCTCTCAGAGACATACCACACCGAGCAGGCTGCAGGATTGCAGGCCAGGAGTGACTGGGAACTGTTCTCCCCAGTCCCCCCTGGTCACGCACCTTTGTCCCCCAGAGCTTCTCCCAGTCTCTCACACCATGTGAGCGCCGGGAGCTTCCTCCATCACCAGGAAGGCATGTGGAAGGCTCTATCTGGGTTTCCCAGACCAAGTTCCAATGAGTGTCTGGGTGGCTGTGTTTCCGCACCTCCAACTGACAAGGGTAAGGTAGCAGTGGGAGGCTGAGGGCACAGCTCATGCCACGTCCTGCAGGCCACAGGCCAGCCCAGACAGTCCCACTAACCCCCAGATGCTGCACGAATCAGAAAGTCCCGCCAACAGTCTTGGCAGTGATTAATTTTTTTTTTTTGCTTTTTGGGTCACACCTGGTGATGCACAGGGGTTACTCCTGGCTTTGCACTCAGAAATTACTCCTAGCAGTTCTCAGGGGACCATATAGGATGCTGGGAATCGAACCTGGA